CCGACCGCCCGGCCCAGTCGAGCCGGCGGTCCGGCCAGCCAGCGAACCGGCCGGTTCGACCGGCGGTTCGAGTCAGTTTTTACTCGTGATTTCTGATCCGAGTCCAGTTCCAGAAATTTCAGTATTTTTCCGAGCCAGTCCAGTCCAGTTTAATCGCGTAAATAAGTCCGAGCATTTTAGCATATAATTAAATATTCTGAGCATTATACTTAGCATTATTTTGCTTAAATATTTATGTAGCCTAAGGAGAGTCGAGCCTCCGACCGCTACTCCAACTTCCGCACTTGCATATCAGATTCCAAGTTTTTCAGGTGGGGGTCACGTACTGGATGTCACATCATAGATAATATCTGTACCATGGCAGAGGTATGTTTGAGAAAGTTTAGTTCCGGGTTGGGTGGCCAAGGCCTTTATACCCACCTGATGACCGTTGGGAGGGGCGAGGCCCTTTATACCCCATCGGCGTGTGCACACGAGCGGCTACGGCCGGGGGTCTTTTGACCACAGATCAGAACAGACATCAGAGATCAGTTTACAGTTTCAGCTCTTATATATTTATGATTCATGATACGTTATTATAGATGATGTTTTGTTCAGTACTGGTCTTTGCGGAGCATAGTGGTTTGCTCACGCCCCCATTGTGTTTTTCAGGAGGCGGAGTCGAGCGTGCCGGATGAGCACAGATGTGGCGCAGCGTGGTCATGAGAGTCGGACATATTTTACCAGCATTTTTATGTCCTAAATTTATGATCATGTGTATTTTATTCAGATCATGTACGCATTATGTATTCGTATTTCGGATGCTTCCGCCAGCGAGTTTTCTAGACAGTGCGAGACAGTACAGACTATGCATGTATAATTCCATAATCCGCGAGCGGACAGTCTGGTTGCATGTTTTTATTATGTCTGTGGGCAAGCCCAAGTTTCAGTTTAAGTTTGTATCTGTGACATCCCGCAATAAGTCAGTATTTTCGAAAACCCAGCTCGCACGACCTTTCGAAAATAAAAACGAAAATTTTACTCTGATTTTTCAAAGCTAGTAGTAAGGCGGGGTGTGACAGAAGGTGGTATCAGAGCGCAGATTTGCGTTTCTGCATACTTTCAAGTTTAGAAAAGCATGACCACGCCACGCTCATCCGCACCGACTCCGAGGTAAGTCACCTGACTCAGTTTAAGTTTTGCAAGTGCTAAATTCAGTTCAAGTATGGGGCCTAGATAACTATCCTCCTATAAGAAAAGAAAGAACTCTAGATGGAGAACTCTAGAAAGATAAGCAAATGACAAGAACTCTAGACAGAACTCTAGAACAGCTAAGTCCAAGGACTCTAGACTAAGTCAGGACTCCATTACGGGCCAGAACACTGAAAGTTTAACGTATACCGGAACTCTAGCCAAGCTAGGTGTTTTCGGATATTATTTCCTTATTATTTCAAAAATAGTATGGCTATTTCTTAATCGGCTATACTAATCAATTCAAGCGTTTCCCGAATTTCAGAATGGCACCGCGTAGAGATCCCCAGGCACCAGTTGAGCAGGATCAGGCTGTTGTGGTCAGCCGATTCCGTACGTATGATCCGCCCCGTTTCACTGGGGAGAGTGGCCCGTTAGCGTGGCCGAGTGGATCCGGAAGATGGAGAGGATCTTCCGTATTATGGGGATTTTTGAGGCGCACAAGATGGCGTGCGCCGAACTGCAGATAGAGGGAGCCGCCGGAGATTGGTGGGAGGATTACTGGCGTCTACGCACCGAGGATGAGCGTGACGCTATGAGATGGGCTCAGTTTAAGACGATACTGGAGGACAAGTTCTATCCTCGCCATTTCAAGCAGAGGATGGCACGGGAGTTTGCCGCTCTCCAGCAGGGTGAGCGTTCAGTGGACGAGTACGAGCGCGAGTTCGCTCGTAAGAGCGCCTTTGCTTCGCATCTTGTTGATACGGAGGAGAAGAAGGTAGCACAGTTCCTCGATGGTTTGAGGAGCAACATCAGACTCTTGATCACCAGCAATGGCTTCCTTGACTACGCCGAGACTGTTGAGCGTGCTCAGCAGATCGAGGCGTGCATTCTGAGAGACACCCGTGCCCAGCCACCAGCCAGACAGCCAGCTGCTATTCCGCCACCCCAGCCAGCTCAGCAGACGAACAAGAGAAAGTGGGACGGTCGCAAGGACAAGTGGAACCGCAGACAGAGAGGCCCAGCTCTGGGAGGCCAGCCAGCCCGACAGGACCTGCCGGCATGTGCTACCTGCGGACGTCCGCACCGCGGGGAGTGTCTTGCCGGGCAGGATATATGCTTCCATTGCCGCCGCCCAGGCCACCGTATCAGAGATTGCCCAGACCGCCCTCAGCCACAGCAGGACCAGAGACCACCAGCCCCGAGACAGCCAGCTCAGAGACAGCCAGCACCTAGACAGCCAGCCCAAAGACCCCCAGGACAGGAGCAGCAGCGTGGAGCACCCGCTCATATTTACGCACTCGACCAGGAGTAGGCCGCAGAGCAGCCAGGTACCATGTCTGGCATGTTGTCCTTGTTCCATACTCCAATCTTCGCTTTATTCGATACCGGGGCGACACATTCATTAGTCTCGACCCAGTGCTTATCTGCCTTAGGAGCCCAGGGAGTGAGTACTGTCGAACCTCTCGAGATCAGTCTCGCCTCGGGAAGGAAGATAGTCACGAGTTCCCTGGCCAAGAACCTTAACATTGATATCGGAGGTCGAACTCTAGTTGTAGACGCGTTTGTGATCGATATGAATGACTTCGACCTGATTCTTGGCATGGATTGGTTGACGAGGTACCGTGCGGACATCCGTTGTCGCGACCGGGAGGTGACGCTACACTTATCTGAGGGAGACCACATCACATTTTTCTGGACGAAGTCTCGAACTTTGCCGCACGTTATTTCCATGGCGAAAGCGACGAAGTACATGCAGCGAGAGGATTGTCAGGGTTTTCTTGTCAATATCGTTGGGGAATCTTCGGAGAAGCTGTCTCCCGGAGATATACACATTGTTCGAGAGTTCGTGGACGTCTTTCCCGACCAGCTCCCGGGAGGACCACCTAATCGCCAGGTGGAGTTCACCATCGACTTGGTCCCCGGAGCGGGACCAGTGTCGAAAGCGCCGTATCGTATGGCGCCGAAGGAGCTTCAGGAGTTGAAGGCTCAGATTCAGGAGCTTTTGAGTCTTGGTTTCATCCGACCGAGCGTATCACCTTGGGGAGCCCCTGTCCTCTTTGTCAAGAAGAAGGATGGGTCTATGAGGATGTGCATCGACTACCAGGATTTGAACCGATTGACGGTGAAGAACAAGTATCTGCTTCCCAGAATTAAGGACTTATTCGATCAGCTGAGGGGAGCCAGTGTATTTTCCAAGATCGATCTCCGCTCTGGCTACCATCAGCTGAAGATCAGAGAGGCCGATGTGGCCAAGACTGCTTTCAGAACCCGATACGGCCATTATGAGTTCGTTGTGATGCCGTTTGGCTTGAGCAATGCGCCAGCAGTATTCATGGATCTCATGAACCGTGTCTTCCATCCATTCCTAGACCAGTTTGTCATCGTCTTCATTAATGACATTTTGGTCTATTCCAGCAGCCCAGAGCAGCATGAGGAGCACCTGAGGACAGTTTTGGAGACTCTTAGGCGTGAGAAGTTGTACGCCAAGTTCTTCAAATGCGAA